GTATTTCGAAATATTTAAACCTTGTAAATAAAATATTGTGTTTTTTGTAAACCGTCTTCATCTTTATTATTTAAGAATTGTACTTCTTCTTTATACTTTTTTTCTAAAATAATATTATTTAGATAAATTAAAACTTTACATGAAACTAATACTTGTTATACGAAAAACCCGTGATGTTAAACTTATATAATTATTATATATATTTATTGTGTGTAAAATGTTTCTGAGAAGGAAAAATAACTTTTTTCTAGATAACCTGCTATCTAGTGATTGTAGTACTGACGTGTGAACATGTGATTGACAAGATGGTGTAAAGTGAGAAATGCGTCTTTCTACTGTGAATTTTTGTCTTTATGTTAAATTAAGTTCGTTAACTTAGAAAAGCTACAGCATAAAAATGTGTCAAAGAAATAAGAATTTGTGTTTTATTATGTTAAAATAACATTTTGGAGAAGTCGTTCAGAAAAGTGGATCACATTTAATGAAGAAAGGTTCAATGCTATTATTATTTCTTATTATTGATTCAAATCTTCCAAAAGGTAAAATGAAGGTAAAATTTTGAAGTTACCTTCTGTGGTTTATTAATAGTGACTGAAGCTTTTAATAGTACTTTAGCTCTTTGTTCTTAATGAGTTAGTTTCTTTTGAAAAAAGTTACCAAAGTTTCATGCTATTCATTATAGTTTTTACATCCAAATGATGTTAAGTGTTTCTTATAAATACAAATGACATTTCTATTTGTTACCTATTAATATCATAATCACTGAAACCTGAAAATGATACTCATATGATATTCACAGGGCTTAGTAGTTACAAAGAATATCCATTTTTCTCTTTCTTTCTTGACATAAGTTATAATGCTCCTAGTACTAGTAACAGTAAAACGTTAACAGCCCATTGTTCTGACAGCTTTTATTTATTATTGTATAAAAACTATATATTATATTCGTAGAGTACACTATAGCTTTTCTATCTGTAGATCTCACCACAGATGGGAAGACCCAGCATGTAGCCTGATGCTGTATGTAAGTTAAAATTTAACCAAGCTTTAATAAGTTGGGTTTATGTAAAGTAACCATATAGAAAGTGTGTATGTAGCTACAAATAAAGCTACTTGATATTAACAATACTTATTATAGGTGATGTATTCTTCATTGTAATATTAACTCATTTTCTGAGGTTTATTATAGGTGTTGTATTCTTCATTGTAATATTAACTAATTTTCTGAGATGACAATGTCACTTTTAGAATTTCCAGTTCTATGGGCCAGCCAGTGAAATTAGGTCATGGCAACATAATTTTACTGGTTGGTCCAGTGAACTGGACATTCTGACAATATATTGTGATCCACAATGATGACATAATTTTACTGGTTGGCCCAATTAACTGGACATTCTTACAATGGATCTTTATTTAGGATTCTTCTTAGGTCACAATCCAGCCAGTCTAAGCTTGGCTATTTACAATATGTATTTTCAAAAGGTTCCTTTTATCATCACATTTAAGGTATTAGGTAAAATTAAGAAATTTGTGGCTACATAACTGTGCCTCATTTTATTTTCTTACAAATACAACAACAAAGGTTTAATAATGACATTCCTGTTTTGAAAGCAAAAATGCCAGATTTGTGTACAG